CCAATGGTTCACTGCCAGCCTGTCTCCATCTCGCTTCAAGAACTCTAAGCACTGCTTGATACCCGTGAAAGTCTGAACAAGGATTATTCTGTTTCTCGTTAATACAGTGACCATAAAGCACATCCAAGGAGTTGGTACCTACTAGAACTTGCGACAGACTCTTGAGATCCGGAACTACCAAAGCTAAGGTCGGGATTTCAATTTCTGCACCCACAAACTCTTTCGGAAACTTCAAGACCAACTCTATGTACCCTAGATATGGAACTGCTTGTCCATTGGCCCCTTCTACCTCTAGTAGGTTTCCTAATGACTTCAACGGATGATCAGACAGATGTGACTCGTAAAACGACTGGGGAATGGTAGTAACTTGAGATCCTGTGTCTAAGAGACAGCTAACTTCTTTACCCCCAATAACAATCTGCGCTGTGCACTTTACTCCTACCAACCCCTCTGGCAGGTTCTTTAATGGTGATCTATTCTGGTTACTCGTGACGGCCGCTTGTCTATAACACTTAGGGCGGTTCAAGTTACATCTTGTCTCTGTATGCCCCGCTACAAAGACGTCCCTTAGTTTAAAGACACGGAAGAATTTCCATGCAGAGAATCCCACTGGGCCTGCTGCTCTCTCAATTTACGACGCTTTTCTTCAACTCTCAAAGGGTTTGCTGGATTATCACAGGCAACAGCCAAATGACCATTCTCTCCGCATCGGAAGCAATATCCGGGACGAGGGCGATTGGTCATTGGTTGGGCCCTAATATCTCGACCATTTTCTGTCTCTATCAAATTCTGAGGCGGAGAAACTCGAGGACCTGCAGTCGCACGGGAATGATCTCTAAAATTTCTCTGAGCAACATTCTGAGCTTGCAGTTCAGCTACCTGTCGTCGTAGGTTAGCGACTTCTAAGCTATCTGAATCTTCACGTTTTGCTTCTTGAGTCATGGAAACTCGCATAGCGGCTATCTGAGCGCGCAACTCCTCCACTACTTTTCTCAAAGCATCAAATTCTGTTTTTTCAGAACATCCGCTCTGGCGTTTTTGATCTGAATTTCTACCTAAGGTAACAAGTTGAGCCTGAGCTTCTGCAAGTTGCTTCCTTAGAGAATCGGTTTCGGAAGTACTAACATCTAGTGTGTCACGGGAGTACACTGACATTTGTTGAGTGGCAGCTCGAGGTTTTGAATAAACAACAGGAGCTTTTGACAATCCAAAGTGTTTTTTCATTCTTTCTTCTTTAGAAGCACGTTTACTCTCTTCTGTTCGAATTAACACAACCAACTCAGCGAAAGTGGGTGGCTGGGCTCTGCTTTTCCCTAACTGAAGGCTGTCAATGAGACCATTGTCCCAACATCCCCTTACAAATTGCTTCAAAAGACAACGGTCATGATCTTTCTCCGCGATGCCTCCCCTCTTAATCGTTGAGCTCAGAAGAACTTGCAACCGGTGTAAGAAATCTGACGCCCTTTCACCTTGGTTCTGCAAAGTGCCCATGAACTTGGCTAACAGTTCGTCGCCATCCTCTACGGAACCATACACAGATTCTAATAACTCGAGATACACTGCAGGCAGAGCTGGAGGTCGTACATGCTTCACCACATCCGCGGCAGGTGACAACAAGCTATCTAGGATCTTGCGTACTCTTTGCAAATCAGAAATAGCCGGATCACTTAGCAGGAGTTCTACATTTACTCGCCAAGTGTCAAAGTCAGGTTCATTTGGAGGACGCGGGCACCTCCCTGAGAAACTCTTAAGACGGATTGACGTTTGCTGTAACATCGTAGCATCAGCCGACTTCACTATGTGCTCTACAACCATCTTCTGAACACCTTGTGGGTCTACAATGTTCATGGGGAAACCAGAACGTGTAGTTACTGTAACACCATCAACGGTGGTTTCTGGAAAGGCAATAGGGCTCGTTTGTCTCTTGATTGGGTTTTTGAATTCTAAATCTCGCATTTCTACTTCTCTAGAATCATCACAGCTCACATTTTGCACTTTCTCTGGAGTACAGTTGGTAGAGTGAACTTCCTGGAGTTCATCTGTCTGGTTGCAGACGCTAGCCAAGGCTCTTACTTGGAACATCACACTTGGATTCGAAAGACTTCCCAAAGTTAAGGGTAGCATTGGAGCTAAGTCTTGCATTGCGGAGCTGTAAGCATATTCTACAATGGCATGCTGATGGAACTCAGACGTTTGATCGTCAATTATCAAACTGCGTTTGACTGTGCCATATCTTTGCAAGAAAGTACTCAGCTCATCATCTGTTTCGGTGAGCGTGAGACCCTTGACAAGAAGCGCATTTGCTACGTCTACACTCTCTCTCTCAATGATTTCCATTGTCACAACACAAAATCAACGCTCTGAGAAAAATTCCGTTCTAGTTTGCTTGTTTCCTGCTAGTGTCTTTGTTGCTAAGCAACGGTCTCCTGGCTGGCTCGCCAACTTTCTGTAACCTGTCTCGTGGCAAGTGTGTTACCCTCGCTCTCCTCAGTAAGACACAGAGGGCGTGAGGGAAGACACTGCTTCAATCTATGGACCAGCGATCAGAAGATCAGAATTCGCTCGAGAGACCGTGTTAGCAGCAAAGAACCACAGGGACACACTGTTTGGGTTGAGGAAAAAAACAGGTATGTTGTATTTGGAAAGAGCAACAAGCAATTAAAAACAAAAAAGAAAATATTCAAACGGACAATAAAAATTAAACAAACCGTCGATGAGAGAAAAATAAACCAGAAATAAATCCCTCTTATTTAAATCCTAATTATACCCCTTTTTGCCTTACTTTTATCTATTATAATTAATACTTCCTATTTAATTTTAAATCTGATTTCACCTGTTTAACTTTTATTTTGGTATAAGTAAGATATAAGGTTTTGTTAATTATTTGAGTTATTCCTAATTTGACTTATTTATATTAAGAATACTTTTCTCCTCTGGTCTGATTTAAATGCAACTCTTTTTCAATTTCAAATCTTTCAAATTACCTTTCAGTTCACTCTTATTACCCAAAATGAAAATTATGAACACTTAATAAATGGAAAAAAAAAAATATAAAAAAAATCACAATAATAGAATTGAAGCAAAATGACAATAAAGAAAATAAATGTCCAATTGTCTCAGTGCTCACAGAAATCTCAATGCGATATGAGATTGTACCAGTTCTCAGCTCCAGTTCAATGTTCCTTCACGAGATCCTTCTTCCGCAACTCAAGTTAACTTACAGTTCAGTAAGGAAAGGAAGAGAAAACCTGTGCTCGATCCTACCACACTATTCACAGTTCGATTTGTAGTTCGATCCTTATTTGGGCATGGCTCGCCAGTTCCTGCTTGCACCAACTCTCCAACTTTCGCCGCGAAGCAGGGACATTTCACGTGCAGCTTCCTCGATCAGCATCCAAACTCAGCAATTAAAGAATATCAGACGAAACCAAAAGAAAATCCAGAAAGAAAAAAAACAATAGAAAGCCAAAGGGGGGAAAAAAAAAACCCAACCTTGAAAAAAAACAAGGCCAAATGTACAATTAGGCACTTTCCTCAAAAATTCACATATTACCACACTTAATATCAATAAATTCAACTACTAACATTTCAAACTTCTCTTTTCATATAATATTAACACATTAACTTCTCATTTATATCCAAAAACAGGATTTCAAATGACGTGCTAGGCCACATCTGCTCAATTTACACGTGCGTCACACATTTGTTTTCTCAAACTCAGTTATTCGACGAAAACTACAAATTTACATATCACAAGTCATCAAAAATAACTTCTCCCTTTATGATATCACTCATTTGACACATTTATGAAGAAATCTTCTATTATTTTTCCCTTTTTTTTTCAGAAGGTTGACTCTTACATAAATTTAGCTAAATATAACACATATTTGGCATTTTGAACACATTTTATCAGATATTTATACATGAGAACCTTAATAATGACAATAAAACAGAAACTTCACTTACCAAGAGTACTCTAATATCAATTAGAAAAAAGTTCGCGGCAGCTCTTTCAGCTTTAAGCTCGTACTTCAATGCACGTACAAAAAGCTAGTTTCACTTCAACTCAAAATCAATTATCACAGTATCAAGCTCAGATTCTATTTCTCAAAATCTTTGTGTTCTATAACTCTCAATCTCTCTTAACAACTACTAGCTCGCTCATTTTAATCTTCTTTCTCTTCTCAGATCGCGTTCACTCTGCTTCTTCCCGAAAATGATCATTGCATCATCTCTCGACTCTGATGACTCCACCCACTAAGGCGGCCAACTCTGATTCGTCCGTGAAGACCAATCATTGTCTCACTAATTGAAAATTACTCTAATTTATGCATCCTTATTTTCTCTTTTCTTTACAGATATTTAATAAAATAACTGTTTATTCACATAAGTGTCAGTCTCTTTTCTATAAAATAAAATAAAAAAAAAATAAAACATATTTAGTAACCTGGGTTACACTATACACTGACAACCACCAATCACAGTGGAGATGAGAGTCACATGATCAATCAAAACTCATCACAAGCAGATTTTCCACAAGAATTACACTAGCATAAAGAAGCTGGACAGTTGCATTCACACACACACACCATCATGGTAACACACATGAAATAAAAAAAAATGCAATAAACATTAATTTAACAACATTACATGTAACATGAAACCCTAATGTACATAACTGACTAGAAAAACTATGAAGAAACAAAGTTATTTTAACAAAAATACATCAAATGTAAAGTGTCACGCAGCTAGGGAATTGTGGGATGTTTTTTTAATTTTCACTGTAAATATATATACAATGACTTGTTCTTTTTCACTCCCAAAAACTGTTAATTTAACGGTATTTTACTGTAACTAGCTAACTGTACGATTAGATCTATCACAGTTATTCTCTGTATATTGTACGGAAACTTTCACCGTAGCATTTTTACAGTAAAATACCGTTAAAATCATGATAATTGTTTTGTTTTTTTTCAGTTTTAAGCACTTTTGAAGGATATTGAGTATGAGGGTGGTGAAGGCCAGTGAGGCGAGTGTGAGCCTCAGATGAGCCGCGTGGAAGTCTCTCCGCGTCTCGGCCGCGCGGTACGACAGCAGCGTCTGCACACACACGAACAGCAGACTCGCGGGGAAGGCCAGACCCGCGCCCACATAGTGGAGGACTTTAGCATGATCCACCTGCAGAAAACACAGTCAGCCACAGCACACGAGTTACAAGAGAAAAACATGCTTTCTTATACCAACCTCCATTTATGGGACTTTAAGAAGAATTGTTTGTTGAGCCTTTGTCTAAAGAACATTTTTTCTACCCTGTAGGAATAAACTATTTGTAAATTATCAAAAAAAATCAAGATGGAAAATAAAATCCTATTTTAATTTGTTTCCTCAATAACTGTAATTTTATCTAAAACCTGGATATGTATTATATTAAAAAAAATAATTTAAAAGTTAAAGTTACCATTTTAGTCTTTCCACTTTTAAGTCAATGTATAACTTGCTTTTGATTTGTGAAATTTACCAGCAATTTCTGTGAAAATTGTTATGTGAACTCATGAAATTTTCTCATGAACCAGATTAACCTGATTAAAAAGGTACCAAAATATACAAATCACAAAATAAACAAACAAACAAAAAAAAATTTACAAACTAAAACTAGTAAGTATGTCATGACTGTTTGTATGGTTCAACCTAAAAGAAAGTTGAAACCATCACAATCCATTAAAAAATGCTTCAAAATATTAGACTATATGAATTGTGATGCTCTTTAATGATGAATCATATTGAAGAAAAAGAGTAATTTTGTCATTGTTTTCTTACTTGAAAGTTTCCAACAATGACGAGTCCTGCGGCACAGAGCCATCCGGCAAACAGACCCTCCATGTTCAACACGGTGTTGCTCTCCTTATGGATCAGCTGAGCGTAACGCAGCAGACCAATCACAGTCACTGAAACACACAACAGACCAATCACAGTCAGTCATTCCTGAACCACACTTAGTACTTTAAAGCTAAATGATACTGTAAAGATTAAAGATTAAAAATATATGATTTCCATTTCCATGATCATTTTAGTTTAATGATTCAATCGCTCATCACTTCCACAGTTACCCATATTTCCCCTTTATAATGTTCCACTTTGATCTCACCCATCTCGCTGACAGCTGTCAATCATCACTGTCATCAGAGAACAGATTCAAGATGCAGAGAAACAGAGAAAGAGGTTTTATAGTGTGTGTGTGTGTGTGTGTGTGTGTGTGTGTGTGTGTGTGTGTGCGCAGTTCAGGACAGAATCAATGAATCTCTCACCCAAAAACGAAGCAGCGCTGCACAGCAGACTGAACCAGCAGCTCTCCGGAGGAACACCGCCACATTTACTACACACACACACACACACACACACACACATAATGAGGGTTTTATAACATGTCTGCCATTATTTACCTTTTGCTCATCTACTAATTAAACGTGATATTGTGTACCTGATGAGTGGGATATTATCCAGCGTGCAACACAGATCAGATCCGCTCTGAAGAACCAAAGACGTCTCACAGGTTGAATTATACAGCCTACACACACACACACTCACACACGTTTACTTAGCTATCTAAATGGGGAAATTCCATAGATAACGTTTTTTAACTGTACAAACTGTATATTCTGTCCTCTTACATTAACCCGACCCCTAAACCTGCCAATCACACACACACACACACACACACACACACACTAACCCGACCCCTAAACCTGCCAATCACACACACACACACACGCATAATAACCTACCCATCACACAAAACTTTCTGCATTTTTACATTTAAAAAAACTTTAAGTTTAAAGGGGTCATGAACTGGCTTTTTACATTTTATTATATTGTTGTCTGAGGTCAACTTATGACGTTTGCTTGGATTTTGCATTCAGAAACATCAAAATGAACAAGTAATAGGCTCTTTTCTACCCTAGTTTTGAGCTTAGCTGAAAAACACTTGGTTTTTATGGGCGTGTCGCACTGAAGAGGAAATAAACGACCTGTGAGTGGATAACAGTTTTGCATATTATAATGAGTTTCAACTCACCCATCGGTGCACGTGGGGGAAATTGTTTTGAAAACGTCCAATGTTGTAAAATGGCGACTGGAATGATTGGCCCATACATGTTCGACCCAGAGTCCGTGTGTTGCACCATTCCTGTCAGATCCAATATAGACGGCACAGCACCGTTCTTTACTCTTAATCAGTCTGCAAATCCAGTCTTGTTTATAGGACGATCCTCAGTGAAATGAAGCAAACAGACGGTTTTACCTCATCAGCTGGAACGCCATTAAAAATAAAGTTTATCCATGCAGTCCTATTGGAATCCAGAGGAAGCTTATGCAGCGACACAACCAGGCGCTGCACAATATTCTATCTGTATTGCACGGTAGAACGATCCGGTTTCATCACGAGGTAGGCATCTATGTTATTTAGCTATGCGTGCGTGTAATGCGAGAATCGGTGGGCGGGGCTAAACCGGCCGTGTTGAAGTAGTGTCAAAAAATAAAATAAAAGCTTATTGGACTAACAAGGACGTTTTCAGTTCTGAAACTTACAGGATATTCTTATAATATGATGACCTCTTAGATGTCAAAAGCTCAAGGAAAGTTTGATTTCTCAGTTCATCACCCCTTTAAGTTTGATTTACAAATAAGGACGTCGACAAGCAGGTTTTTGGAGATTTTGCCAGATTTTAGTCACTTCTGGGTACAAATTTGTCCCCCAAATATAGTTAAGTATGTAAACACACAATATAAAACAATTGATAAAAACGAATAATGCAGAAGTTTGAACATTCGAAATCTCTCTCAGTAATGGATGCGAGATAGCTAAACTCGAGATATAGACACGTAAGTTAACTCTAAACATGTTCATCAGTCAATCTCAAGATCAATCCGCGAGACATCCGTCTAAACCCCCGATGTGTCCCGAGTCATCAATGTCATCAACCTAATCATCATCAATGTGATCGAATCAACCCGGCTTTATCTAGTTCGTTTCTAGTTTCTATTGACTGAATAAATCAATCCCGTCATTCTGTGTTTCTGACAGAGAGAAGATTCAATAATCACCAGTTATTCACAGGACACACATGCTGATTGTAAAGTGCCATCGTATATCTGTGGATAGAGAGAGAGAGAGAGAGAGAGAGAGAGGTTAAAAGAGTCAATCCTTTAAAAAACTTCCTTAAAAATTTTAAAAACTTTAAAAAAAAATTTGTATTGTTTACAATCACAGATTTTTTTCTTAAAGTCATTTAACTCCACTCATCCTTGTAAGTTAATAGAAGTTCACTAATTTAAAATTAAAACACAATTGCAAAATTTTACACATTGATTAGTTTATAAACACACTCATATCATATCATTAAACTACAAAACACCAGTCCTTCAAAATATGTTATAATATATTTAATAATATATAATTAACATATACTCTTTTTTAAAGAGTATCAGTATATCAGGGATATTATCGCTAACTAAAACTAAAATCATATATATAAAAATAATAAATTAATACAAATTTAAATAAATCAAATAAAAAATGTACTAATTTTCATTTAGTTTAAAACCAAAAACGAAAATTGTATATTTAACATATATTAACATAAAAACAAGAAATCAAAATATAAACAAAAAACACTGCAATATTCAATATGCAATTTTTCAAACTTGCTTCAAAACAACAGACTTGAAAGTAAACCAATGTTTACTTTATACAATTAAAACTAATTTTAACCAGCATATAGTTGAAAGACAAGCACATCTTATAATAAAATGATCAAATCTTTCGCTTCTGCAGTTGTTATTGACATTTAGATAAATATGAACTGGGGTAAAGCCTCACATGATCCAGATTCCCGGCAGTGTGAGCAGCGGCAGACTGATGGGCAGCAGGAACCACAGAGACATCTTCTGCTCTCGACCATCTCAACTCAAACCACACTCATTCACAACATCCCAGAACAAACAGAGGACAGCAGGAGATCTGCGGTGTGACACATGTGATGCTCCTCCTCCTCTTCATCATCACCTCAAACAACCACATCTGAGGAAACACTGGATCACACATCTACTTACTTGTCCAGCAGGGGGCAGACGTCCATATTCATATTTATGCATTTGGCGTATGCTTTTATCCGAAGCGACTTTTAAGGTACAAATTTACATTCTTATCAGTTCTTGCTTTCCCTAGGAATCGAACCCATGACCGTGGCGTTGCAAGCGCCAGTGCTACTGTCTGACATGCAGCAAAGACGCATTCAGCTGACTTAAAGGGGTCAGATGTGTTGCCTTTGCTCTAGCGGTCAGTGCTGTCAGTATGTCGCTCGGGTGGGGCCGAATTTGGGGCCCTTGGGACCTTTCTGTCAAAATCCCACTCGCCCATTAAATGAATGTATTCGCCATATGTGTGTGTGAGAGGTAAAAGGAAATGAGCTCTTGAAGCTCCGCCCCCTGTGCCGCGAGCAGCCGCTCATTTGCATTTAAAGGGACAGACACAAAAACTGCCTCTTTAGTTAACCCACAGAAAGTGACAATTTTAACATGCTATATAAAAATATATGTGGGGTATTTTAAGCTAAAACTTCACACACACACACGAGAAAGAGAAGAAAACAGAGCTCGTAATAAAACAAGAATCAACATCAGCTTAGTTTGACAGAGATGGAGAACTGAGGGATTTTAAATGTTGTAAAAGCGACGTCGAAGCACAACCAAAACAATGTTATTTTGCTAAATGCAGTTTAGTTTTTTAACCGCTTGAGGGCCAAAAATTTAAATAAACCCACCACGTTTTGTAGCATTTGCTTGATTATTATTGGATATGATTATAGTCGATGTGAACGCTACAATTTGCAGTAAAACATTAATGCAACCAGAAATACAATCATAAAGCAGGAACAGTTTTGAACCTGCATGTTTTATTTGATCTGTACTGATGCTAAATGTTCACCTTGTACAAGAAACAAATACAAATAATCACAATAAAACAAACATGAGAATCAGACAAACACCCTTCAATACAACAAACCCAATAAAAGAGACTCACACTCGACTATGATCACGGGAACACGGGTCTAGCAACACAAACCTACCGGAGTTGCAAATTATTATTATTATTTTTAATTATCATCAAATGCCGTATTCATGAGATGTCACTTTATAAAAATACTAACATGAATGAAACAGCGAAGAGAAAATACGCAGACCATCTGTATTTATTCATTAGCAAGATTTGGTGGAGAAAAAAGAAAAATTGTGATTTTCCTGAGTCTTGTAGAGGAGCGAAGCCGACGTGAACCGAAAACAACAACTCACACGATTTAAAATACCGAATGATCTTCATTTAAACCTCGTCATCTGCTGGAACGCTGAACCAATAGGAGAAAGTCATTGACTGTTCGTTAACAGAGGTCACGGTTTGATGAACAGACACACAAACAAAACACACACGCATGAAATATTTTGGTGTTTCACTCCTTGGCTAAAGTCTGAGAGCCCAGAGCGCTGAGCTGTCAATCATCCTGAAGGATGACCAGTGGGCGTGGCTATTGCCTGATTTATTTTAATTAAATAATTCACACTTACGAGATGAGGAAAAAAACAGGCAAGATTGTGAAAAGAAACACTTCAAACTAACAAACTCCATTGTGTTCCTGTTTATGGAGGTAAAAGTGTCTGTCCAATCAGAGACGCTGTGCTGCAGTCACATGACCAAAACATCCTCCGAAACAGTACAAACTGAAACGTAAAGAGGCGGAGATTTCAGTCTGTAAAGTTCCTCTTACGTGGCATAACAGTGTGTGTGTGTGTGTGTGTGTGTGTGTGTGACGTTATTGCTCGGTCAGGTGTTCTCTGTTCTCCCGCTGGTTCGGGGACGGTGTCTGTGACGGGTGGTTCCCCGCGGGCATTGAATGGGTCACTGGCACCAAACCCGCCGGGAAGACCCCAGCTGACGCTCCGCCCACTCCTGATGGGAACCTGCGCGAGAGGGCAGAAGCTGTAAATAAATAATCTGTCCACTGACGTATGCTTTCTTATGTATTTGGCCGAGACTCAACTATTGAAGATCTGGAATCTGAAGGAGCAAAAACATGGAAACATTGAGAAAATCTGCTTTAAAGTTGCGTGTGTGTGTGTGTGTGTGTTGGCGATTGTGCTGTGCTCACTCACAGAAATACATGTTTTATATATTTACGGTAGGAAATTTACTAAATATCTTCATGGAACATGATCTTTACTTAAAATCCTAATGATTTTTGGCATTTTGACCCATACAATGTATTCTTGGCTATTGATACACCCGTTCGACTCCACGGTTTTGTGATCCAGGGGGTCATAATTGTGTTGAGTTACTTTTAACGGGAAGCGATAAGTTACATTACGTTTGTGTTAGTTTTTCTGGTCTGGGCTGGGCTTGCTTGTTTGTTTTTTAATAACAGCGATAAAAGTTGTATTTTTGGCGGCCCTTTGACCCCAGAAGTGAGCTGAATAAGCCTCAGGCTGAAGCACATGCAGATGGACGCGTGTACAGTAGAGGGCGCTGTTAAAAACCCTTTCTGGACTGAAGAACAATAGCACTTACTTCAGCAATAAAACATTAAATATCAAACACAAATGTGATATTTATCTCAGAGTGGATCACTGAAGGCATTGGTTAATAAACTGAGATTAAATACATAAAGTATATTTGTGTCTTTTAATTATTGCAGGTTTGTGTAATATTCTGAGATTACGTTTCTCTGTTTTTATTAGTTTTGAGTAATACGAAATCTGTGTTTTTGAGATGAGACGAGTAAATGTCTGCTCACATTTCTTCTAAACGTGAACATGAAGTTCTGAGCTTGCTATGAATGTGTAGAGTATGTTTCTGGAAAAAGCCTTAAAGATGTAGATCTCGATAGAGGAAGAGTATCTGAAGAGTTCAGATGCAAAAGCCTCTAAATGCCATTTGAAATTTTCTTCTTTAATGATGATTTTTATCGAACTTGTATATTTAAGTTCAGTAATTTCACTTAAATAACAATTAATAGGTAATTATCATTGCCATTTAAGTGAAATCACTGAACTTACAATATACAAGCTTGATAAAAATCATCATTCTAGAAGAAAATTTCAAATGCCACTTAGAGGCTTTTGCATCTGAACTCTTCATATGTTCAACTATACACTGAGAGAGAGAGAGAGAGAGAGAGAGAGAGAGAGAGAGTTTACCTGCTCTTGGTTTAGGCATTGATTTTGTCTTGGGGGGCGGAGCCAGCCGTGATGGCGTGCAGTGATTGGTTGACGTGACTGCATGAGAGAAGCAGATGGGGGCGGGGCTCAGAGTTAAACTCATGTCATGTGACTGTTTAGGGGTGGAGCTTACAGGGTTTTATGCACTAATTATTCATGATGATCATGTTACGGTGACTGTGGTAAAACACAAACATACGTCATATGTGCTTGATGAAGGTTAAGCAACAGCACAGGATGACTGCAGTGTGTGTGTCGTACCTGTATGTGGCGCCGTTGAGCTCCGGATGAACCTGCTGCTCCATCAGTCCCCAGGAGCCGGAGGACACGAAGAACTCCTTATTAACGCAGTTCCTCAGACTGTCTGGAATACGACCTGACACACACACACACACACACACGAGACCACTTTAAATCTCCAGAGCTCGGACAAATCATCGTTCTCAAAATGTAAATGTATTCTTCTGAGTAAACTGAATCTTCACAAAGCCAGAACTATTAAATGTAATCCTGGTTTTAGAATATTCTCCTCGCATATAAAGTCCATTTTTACTTCCTTTAATGTTCAAGAAACCAATGTGAAATTTATGACATGGTGCATTATCCCGCTGGAAGTAGCCATCAGAGGATGGGGACATGGTGGCCATAAAGGGATGGACATGGTCAGAAACAATGCTCAGGTAGGCCGTGGCGTTTAAACGATGCCCGATTGGCACTAAGGGGCCTAAAGTGTGCCAAGAAAACTATTACACCACCACCACCACCAGCCCAACAGTGGGAACAAGGCATGATGGGTCCACGTTCTCATTCTGTTTACGCCTCTACTAAACAGAAATCCAGACTCATCAGAACGGGCGACATTTCTCCAGTCTTCAACTGTCCAGTCTTGGTGAGCTCTTGCAGATTGTCGGCTCTTTCTCCTATGTGTAGTGGAGATGAGTGGTGCCCGGTGGGGTCTTCATCCGCCTCAAGGTTGTGCGTGTTGTGTCTTTGCTGCATACCTCGGTTGTAACGAGTGGTTATTTCAGTCAAAGTTGCTCTTCTATCAGCTTGAATCAGTCGACCTCTGACCTCTAGCATCAACAAGCAGGAGTCTGTTTGTTTATGTGTTTCTTAAATATCTCTTTATATTATTTTGCCTCAACTAGCCTTCCATGGCATCTAACATCCATTACATTTACTTTCAGAATTTATAATTTATTCTCTGTCATGTACTGTTCTGATTGATTAATAGCCAGCTGATAGCCTATATCCATAGTCATAGTTAATATTATTAGGAATTTTAATATTTTAAATTAGAATTAAAAAATAATAATAATAATAATAATATTTTTTTAAAAAATATATATTTAGTTATGTGTATGCATGTTTTTAGTATTATTATTATTATTATTTTTTATTTATATTGTATGAGTTATAGATGTGGAAATCTGTTGTCTAAGCTACTGGGATAAATAAAGTATCAAACAACAACAACAACAAACAACAAGGCATTTTGGCCCACAGGACTGCCATCGCATACTGGATGTTTTTCCCTTTTCACTCCATTCTTTGTAAACCCTAGAAATAAATCCCAGTAACTGAGCAGATTGTGAAATACTCAGACACCAACAACCATTGCTGAAATCCCCTTTCTTTCCCATTCTGACGTTCAGTTTGGAGTTCAGGAGATTGTCTTGACCAGGACCACACCCCTAAATGCAACTGCCATGTGATTGGTTGATTAGATAATTGCATTAATGAGAAATTAAACGGGTGTTTCTAATAATCCTTTAGGTGTGTGTGTGTGTGTGTGTGTGTGTGTGCACACCTGTGATGGCTCTGCGTATCTCTGTGGCTGCCGCTTCCCTCATCTCTAGAGACGCTTGTTCGCTGTACCAGGCTGTGTGTGGCGTGCAGATCAGATTAGGGGCGTCTTTCAAAGGACCCTGCGCAAAACTACACACACACACATAGATTTTGTTAGAAATCATTTAAGAAATCAGTGCAACATAAATCAAATCTTCTCTCACAACAAAAATTGCCACAGAAAATAAAATTGTCTGGTGTAAATAAAACAACAGATGTAATGTTTCTGAAAGAGTCGCTTCTGATGTGTTAATATGATAAAGAAATACAATAAAACAGTGAATTATTATTCTAATGTAAATCATCTGTTTTCTATGTGAATATACAGTAAAGTGTAATTTATTCCTGTGATGTTCAGCATCATTACTCCAGTCTTCAGTGTCACATGATCCTTCACAAATCACTCTAATATGAGGATTTATGATTATATGATAAACATTAATGATTATTATCAATGTTAAACATATATTTGTGGAAACCGTGATGCGTTGTATTTCTCAGGATTCTTTGATGAATAGAACAGCGTTTATTTGAAATAGAATCTTTTGTAACATTATAAATGTCTTTACTGTCACTTTTGGTCAAAATAAATGAAAGCTAATTAATTTATTAGCTCACAAAAATACATAATAAAATGAAAAGTTAAAAATATTCAAATAAAAAAGTTCAATTTAAAATAATATTTATGTGTGTTTTTAATCATTAATTATAATTATGTGTGTCGTCAGGGGAGTCAAGTCAAGTCACATTTATTTATATAGCGCTTTTCACAATACAGATATCAAAGCAGCTTCACAGTGATAACATGAAAGTAGTACAACACAGATCAATAATATTGTTAAATATTAAATATTAAATAACCCCAACTAAGCAAGCCAAAAGCAAGGCCACAGTGGCAAGGAACCAAAACTCCATCAGATTGGATGGAGAAAAAAAAACCTTGGGAGAACCCTCTGGCTAACATTCATATTGTGTTTATATATAAATATTAAATATAAATATTGTGTGTGTGTGTGTGAGCATCACCTGAAGGGTTCGGTCTCGTGAACATCGAGAGCCGCTCCACGAATCCTGCCCTCCTTCAGCGCCTGAGAGAGAGCTTTCTCATCCACCAGACCGCCTCGCGCCGTGTTCACCAGGAACGCTCCCTGACGCATCTAACACACACACACACACACACAGACTCAGATGGGTGTAATGATCCCGCTTCTCCAGAGGGAGGCGGTAGCAGACTGCGGGATCACCGGTTACTGGTTTAACCCTTATGCTGCATTAGGGACATTTTTGGTCTTTTGCAGTTTAATTTCTTTGACCATTTTGGCTGTTTTAATGCAAATGGTATGAAATTTGGCAAAATTGTGACTTTTTGGATACATGTAAAAAATGTGATCCCATTTTGCAAAATATGCATAACACACACTGTGTAGATCAAATAGTAACACTCAGCACCATAAAGACCAAAAATGGCCCATTGAAACCCATTAAATCTGAGGCTGTCAGTAATACATGAAACATGATTTTTGCACAAACATCCTTTCATTTTGAAGCAAAAGCATTATATTTGCATTATATAGTGTATTCCACCAGATGACGTCACTACATATTTATTCCCTATGGGTGGAAATGCACCTTATTTTAGGCAATAGGCAATGTTTAATAGGTGGCCATTTTTGGTCTCTAACGCGCTAAGTGGGATTTTTTGCAAAGTGGGACTGTGATAATCCAAATCTAAAGTTTTCTCTTTGCATTTAGTTTATTGAAAATAATTGAATTTTTGTGTTTTTTCCTCTTATACAAATCGATGGTTTCGCAAACAAAACTGGTAATTAAAGGGTTAAAATCCTGAAATTGAATACATTTTTGGTAGTTATGATGAGGACTGATGCTGGTTAAAAGATTTAACTTGGTAAAAGTGGAAAATAATAATAATATATAATATTTTAGGCAATGTTTAATATGTGGCCATTTTTGGTCCTTAATGCACTCAACGGTGTTAAAAATCTAATGCAGCACAAGGGTTAAAAGAATGATTTGTGTTGTTCTCTGTACCTGTTTGATGGTGAAGTCATTGATGAGGTGATGGTTGTGTTCGTTCAGGTTGCAGTGCAGCGACACACAGTCGCTCTGGTAAAGCAGATCCTGAAGTGTGTAAACCCGCTGGACGCCCAGCGATCGCTCCAGCCCGTCCTGCAGGTATGGGTCATAGAAGATCACGTTGAAGCCGAAGACTTTCGCCCTGACGGCGACGGCCTGTCCCGAACGACCTGCACAAACACCACACACAGCCTCCGTCAACCAGGATCATCATACTGCTGCTTTTTATACAGACGTGTGTGCATGTGTAATATATACAGTATATAAATTAAAGTCACAGACAGCGGCAGGAATATTAGGTTACTGTCACTTTAAGAGCGAATGCACTGATCTAATATACTGATACTGACACGCATGAGTTCACTCTCAACTGTTCATTTAAGACATAATCTACTGTGTTTACTGGGATACTCACATTTTTTGACATAATATCAGTGTTTAAATTTTCATCACGATGCAGCGCTGACTCGATCAAGTTTGTTCACGTTTATGCATTGTTAGAATTCATAAAATCATTTTTTTGTAATAAAATGAACGAAAGTCTCATTTAATAAAAATAAAATAATACATTATATGTATATATTAAATTAAATGTTATATTTATTATTATTTTTTTGGTTATTCACAGTTACAGGTGTTTCATGTTCTTTTACATTAGACATGTAAAGTCTATTTTTGTAATTTTATTATTATTTTCTTATATTTCAAAAATACAGCAGAAATCTGTAAAAATAAATGGAAAAAATACTATAAAATTACAGATTTTTTAACAGTGTATGCACACAAATATATTTTAAATTTGTTTTATAATAATTTAAATATTAAACATATAATTTATGTATTATATTTATACATTTTAAATATAATAATATTTCAGTATATACATATAAACTATTTATATATATTGTTATTATAATAATAAAACATACATGTATACATATATTTATTATCATACTCCTTTAAATACTATATACGTAGATAGAAAATGTGTGTGTGTGTGTTTGGCCTGTCTGTCCAATATGACTTGCAGTTAATTTTGATTTAAAAAAAATAAAATGTGTGTTGTGTTTGACGGCTATTAGACGACTTTTAAACGCAACATTGCTTGCTGGGCAGTTTATGTGTGTGTGTGTGTGAGTGTGTGTGTGTGTCTGACCGAAGCCGATGAGTCCGAGCGTCTCCCCGCGGATGCGAGCGGCCCCTGACGCCACCTCCCGGATCTGCTCGACGCTCTGGACGCGCGTCCCCTCGCGCAGCGCCTGATAGAGCCACGTGTTCCTGCGGTACAGATTCAACACGTGACACAGAGTCGAGTCTGCCGTCTCCTCCACTGCGGCTGAGGGGATGTTACACACCGCGATACCTGCACACACACACACACACACACATATACACACAATTAACTTTATACTAACTTTTCACTTTACCCTGTAAAGCCTAATTTATGAAATAATGATAGTACTAATAGTCCAAAAAACATATATATGTGTGTGTGTGTGTGTGTGTGTGTTCAGTACCCATCTCTCCGGCGGCTTTAATGTCGATGTTGTCGTATCCGCTGCCGATGCGGATGATGATCCTGAGGGCTTTAAACTTCTCCAGATCTTCTCGCGTCAGTGTGATGCTGTGATACATCAGAGCGCCGACAGCCTCGTTCAACACCTGAAACACACACACACACACACACACAGAGTCGAGAAGTCACTTACGAGTTAATCTGAGCTCATTAACTGTGTGTGGTCGGATGGTCACATGCACACTATCCCATGATGCCTCAAATCAATCACATTCATCATTTGGATTTTGTGAGAAACGTCTCAAATGAGCACTGATGATATCCCACAATGCCGTGCGTGAGAGTCTGTGTGAATGCGGCTTTTTTCAAATCAAGTTTTTAAAGGAGTAGTTCACTTTTGAAAAAAACGTTTGCTGATGATTTACTCGCCCCCGTGTCATCCAAGATGTCCATGTGTTTCTTTCTTCAGTGGAAAAGAAATGAAGGTTTTTGATGAAAACATTCCAGGATTTTCCTCCATATAATGGACTTCAATGGGGACCAAACGGTTCAAGGTCCAAAAGAACCTTTAAGTACAAACTGCAAACTTGTTCAAAGGGCTTTAAACGATTCCAGACGATGAATAAGGGTCTTATCAAGCGAAACGATCGCTCATTTAAAAAAAAAAAAAAACAAAGTTTAAGTTTTATAAGCTCAAACGCTCGCCTTGCTCTGTTCTGTGATGCGCGTTCGTGACTCTCCTGTTCGAACTCGTTCAACAAAATGAACAAATCTTTTTCCGAATCAATTCGTTCCTTTCTTTCGCCGAATGAACCAAATGAGTCAGAAAAAGATTCGTTCATTTTGATGAACGAGTTCGAACAGGAGAGTCACAGAACAGAGCAAGGCGAGCGTTTGAGCTTATAAAACTTAAACTTTGTTATTTTTAAAAAAAAATGAGTGATCGTTTCGCTTGATAAGACCCTTATTCATCGTCTGGAATCGTTTAAAGCCCTTTGAACAAGTTTGCAGTTTGCACTGAAACTCTCTTTTGGACCTTGAGCCGTTTGGTCCCCATTGAAGTCCATTATATGGAGGAAAATCCTGAAATGTTTTCATCAAAAACCTTCATTTCTTTTCGACTGAGGAAAGAAAGACATGGACATCTTGGATGACACGGGGGTGAGTAAATTATCAGCAAAAGTTTTTTCAAAAGTGAACCACTTCTTTAAGCTTGAGCAACAGACTCGTGTGTGTGTGTGTGTGTGTGTGCACCTTCTCGTGGATCTCCTGAGTGGTCTGGGCGTCACAGAAGGCTACAGTGGCGAGGTCTTTGAGGATCGGCATCTCCACCGTACAGTCGCGGCCGTCCAGCAGCGCCACGAGAGGTCGGGGGTGATTCGGGCCGTTCACCATCTGAGGCCGGATACCTGCGCACACACACACACACACTCCATCTCACATGTATTCATCGCTGCGGAATATGTCATTAAATAATAATAATAGAACATTTACAGTAATATGAAGCATTCGAAGTTTTATAAATCTCACGGATGAAAGTGTTTCACTTTGCAAAAGCTGAGAAATCACACACACACACACACACACACGCATATTCCTATTTAAAAAAATGTACAAAGAAATTATTTTCAAGAGGTATCAAGAAGCACTGTAGTGAAAGTAGGAGTACTCCATTGTTTATGTTGTTTGTTTGCTCTGTCATTTTTAGTTGTACTTTTTATTTTTGATTTTATTATGTTTTTTATGTCTTGTATATATCTGTATAGGTGTATGGATGTATAGAACAACATGATGATAATAATATAAAATTGTAAATGTAAGACTGTAAGAATTTAAGGGGTAGGAGTATATAAGTTTTACTTCTTCCTACTCCTTTTCGCACATATAATAGACGTATGTCAACAGAAAAGAATTATACATATGTATATTTTTGCGGCTCATTTGTTTTGATTTTTCCTAAGTTTTTTAAACATTGTTTTATTTTATATACTTTCTTTTTATGTTCGAAATAAAGATTTCAAATTCAAAATACACACACACACTCTCACTCACATCCTCTAAAAGTACATAACAAGATTTCACAGCATATTGTACTGTGCTATACTGTACTACACACAAAAATTACCAACATATGAAAAATATGAAATAAACAGTTTACAGGTGAAACTTGAGAAATAGAAGATCGTGCAAAAGTTCATTAATTTCAATAATTCAACTTAAACTCTTAAACCTTTATTTGTTATAATGATGATGATTATGGCTTACAGATATGAAAACCTTTTCACAATATTCTAATTTTGAATTTGGGTTTTTCATATCTATAAGCCAAAATCATAAAAATTATCACAAATAAAGGCTTGAAATATCTCACTTTGCATGAAATGAGTCTATATAATATATTAGTCATTTCTGTTTATAAAGAATCGCGTGAAATATCAATGATTTACTAAACACACACACACACACACACACTGCCTGATTGTAAAGTGTGTTTGTGCATCTTTAATCACAATAAACAACACTTGATTTTACACTTTGTCTCATTTATATGTAATATTTTGGAGTCACTGTATAAGAGAAAAGAGAAACTATGGAAGTGTGTTTCCGTCATGATAACACTTTATATCACACACACTTCTGAATGACAAAAGTGTGAGATAATAAAGTCGAAATTAACTTTTTATTGTTTTATTCTGTGGTGAAAACACTTCTGTAAAAATAAAACGGAAGGATTGACCAAAAAAACTAAAACAATGAAAACAAAGAGTGTGACACGGTGTGTGTGTGTGTGTGTGTGTGTGTGTGTGTGTGTGTGTGTGTGTGTGTGCGGACATTCAATATCCAGGAGCCGTTCCATTTACAATCCATGAATTATTCACACTGACGTCCATATAGAGACAGAGACGCACGCTTCATGACCCACACACACACACACACACACACTGCAGCGGTGCTGAAGTCATCATTAAATGCTAGAAAAGCTGCGTTTAAAACAATTGTCGTATTGAGTATTGAGATCTAAACTTAGGATTACATAACCACACACACACACACACACACACACAAACGGACTCATCCTGCTGCACGCATAAGCTAATTAACCCTTCACTACCCATAATGCACTGCGGCCACAGGTGTTCTCAGCGTAAACAGGTTCAAATGATCCTACAGCGGATCACGTGTCTCACACACACACACACACACGTGTCACTGACCTGCGGTGGGATCCATCCGGGCGATTGGTCGGTGTGTGTGTGTGTGTGTGTCTGTGTGTTTGCCGGTGATCTGCAGACGCTGCTCTGTTTAACGCCACCGTTAATAAACTACTTATCAAACCAACCAACCGAGAGAGTTTAAGAGCAGCGACAGCCATGGAGAGCACCTCCCACTCACACACACACACACACACACACACACGCTGACTTTTATAAAATGTGTTTGTTAACATGCATTATTTATGATGCACACACACACCTATGGGAGATTCAGAACTCGGCCTACTTTGTTAACCTTTTTACGACATAGTTTGAAACGACAGCTAACATTATTTCTTTCAAACACGTTTCAACACTGAAGGTCAGAACACACACACACACACACACACACACCAGTGTCCTGAACACCGACAACCTTCAGCCTAGCCTAGTGTGTCGTTTAAGACCTGCAACCAAACGTCACGAATCATCAGTTTTTTCATGAACACTCCAGCATTTCACTTGTAAGTTCTTGGCCTGAAAAGTCCGATAAAGCGCTTGAAGAGTTTGTGAAGCGCCGGTGTGTGTGTGTGTGTGTGTGTGTGTAGAGACGAGCACGCTGTCAGGGGGCCGAACTGTGCAGATCCTATTAACCCTAATGAGATTTCAGCCTCTAAGACTCTGATTAGGCCTGCAGTGAAGAACAGTGCTCAGCTGAAACCACACACACACACACACACCCTAAACACACCGGTTCTCGTTTGAAACAACGTATAATCATGGATCCAAAAGCGTGTGTGTGACATCGTTACAAGTTTTTGCCCAAAACAATAAAAGGCCCGTGTGTGTAAGTAAATAATCAGGTCTGATGGCGTCTCCTGAGCATTATGGGATAGCGATGACTCGTGATGGTCTTCTGGCAGTGACGCTTGTGCTTCATGAAACAGATTGAATACGTAATATCAATGTAGGCTTATAACCAACAGAGAATGAGACTCTCCTTTCAATGATAAAACACACAAATTCATGTTAGCAAACCACACACACAAACACACACACACACACTCAAGGTCAGTCAAAAACGCTCTGTATTGCTACAGAGTTTCTCCATGTTTCTGGAGTCTCCTGAAGTCCTCCAGGGAGTTCATCTGGGATCTCACACACACACACACACACACACACACTGAATCCCACTAGAAAGCGCATATAAATAGTCTCGTGATCTAAAAACAGAGCTCTTATCCAAATCTGCTTTACACATCCACTATCTACTGCTGGAAACTCAGCACGTCAGAACGCATTTACTCTCTACATCATCCGTACTGTCAACACACACACACACACATATTCAAACGCACTTATTCTAAACACGTACAGTAATATGAGATACAAGATGATAACATCGTAAAATAAAGTGTGTGTTCTCGAGCGCCAAACACTGCACAGAACGCACTGCAAGTTTCAGTATTCTGTCAAGCGGTGTCGTGTTAGCGGCCCTACGTTACACTCTTAGAAGAAATGGTTCTATTTAGAACCAGAAATGGTTCCATCCCCCGCTTCATATATGGAACTCCAAAAAGGTTCTATATAGAACCATTTTTTTTGGTAAAAGATTCTATTGGAATCCCAGCGTTCTATATAGAACCCTTTTTTTAAGAGTGTATAGAACCTTTTAGGGGTTCCAAATACCTTTTAAGGTTCTATATAGAACCTTTTCTTCTAAGAGTGTGATAACTAATGATCTTTACAACGGAAGTGCATCGATCAAAACTAACTTTATCCTAGAGCTTCTGTACAGTCGAACACTCTCGGTTTCACTTCATCTGGATGGATGTTCTGGTCGTCTAACTCTCAGTAGACTGCTTAGAATAAGTTGACACGTTGTAAAGGTCCTTAAACTCAGTATAACGTCTGATGGGGAGCATCCGCAGATATTAATTAAAGTGCTACTACAATAATCTCCCGTTATCTCTGTTGAAAGACTCGACTTGACAAAGAAGGTAAAGCGTTACTTGTGTCGGGAGACGCCATGGTGGACACGATGACGGGCGGTCCGGTCCGGCGGGTCAGTTTGTTATTGGGATTGACGGATTGGTGCTGGTGGGAAGACGACGCCGGGAGAGCGTTCCCGTCCACCGGAGCGACTCCTTTCCGCATGACCTGAGGACTGTGATGGGGACTGAGAGCCGGAGAGAGAGGGAGATTCGGCGGGCGCTTCATCAGCTCCATGGGGGAGTACGGGCTCGAGAAGGTTTTGGGAGCCATTCCCGGTGCGCTCGCGTTCTGCTGTTGAGCGGGAAGAGCCGACATGGCCAGGCCGGTGTGAGCGTTAAACATGGACAGCGGTCGGGATTGGGGATGAGAAGTGGGGAATCCAGCCGGGTTGATCGGGAGACCTCCCATCGTCCGGCCGGTTTGATATGTGGAGGTCTCGAGGAGATGTTGGGACGGAGCGCTGCTGGGTCGACGCCCTAAAAACTCTCCCATTCTGGGAGACACGGACTGCATGGCGCCGGGAGGCTGTTGGATGAGATGGGAGTCCATGTTGAGCGCTTGAGGCTGCATGTAGAGATCACTTCGATGGCTGAAGCTGTTGGATCGCCCTCGGATGGATGTCGTTCCGGTCGCGCCCGACTTACAATTGATCACCAAGCGAGACAACACACGTGCCTGTCCCAGATTAGGAGCGACGGAGCGGATGTCGTGATCTTCCATCATCGTGAGCATCGAGCTGGAGTCGAATCCATGCTGGAGGAGAAGAGTTATAGTGCTTTCCGAGAGACCCTCGGAACGGAGGAGAGAGAGAAATCCCGGATCCACGTTTCGCTTCGGGTCGGATCCTGGCGGGTGCTGCCCGGTTGAAAGCGGAATCGGAGCGGCCGGCAACATGGAGGATCCCGGATCGTACGCGGGATCGTAAGGCATCCTTTGGGACGCGACGGAGCCGTACACCTGTGTTCCCCGAGGAAGATTCCCATCCATGGGATCCACAACTATACAAGTGGACGACTCCACGGGGAAACCGTTCACCTCGCCGTAAACGTGTTCGGACGGATACCTGGAGTCGAGCCCGAAGCAAGCGGGAGAAGCGGCTCTGCTGCGGATACGCTGAGTGTCTGGGATCATCTTGATGGAGAGAGAATCCCTGTACAAGCGGCTGATCTCATGAGCCGAGGGAGGAGGAGGAGGAGGAGGAGGATTGGGAATAGGGCCGGGAGTGTTCGCACGAGCTTGTCCTTGATCCCAAGCGCTCCTGACCCCTCCTGCCAGCCCATAATGCGAGCCGGATCTGCTCAACATGTGTTGGTTTCCCTTGTAAAAGCCTTGCAGATCTTCAGGAGGCTGTGCTGAGAGTGCGATATCAAACGGGTAATAATCCGGCGGAGGAACGGTTCCTCGGACAGCCATGGAGATTCACATACACACACACACACACACCGTTCGTTTTTAGTGGAAGCGACCCATTATGAGAAAGAGTAACAAGCTCGATTTAATGGAACGGCTCCGACTCGAAGCCAAACACAAGTGAGGAACGAGGAAAGAGGAGAGGACGGTTGTGAGACGGGCAGGAGTTCGGTTTCACTCCTCAGGTTTCCCTGCGAAGGTGTGTGTGTGTGTGTGTGTGTGTGAAGGTAACATTTCACCCGAACACGAGCCAACCTTTCTTTCGGGCCTCGCTCGAGGTCATGCTATCATGTGACCGCAGGTAACGCTGAATTATTCAGTTCTGGAAACATAAGCAAGTCAGACAACATGAGAGCGCAGTAACACACACTTACACACTTCACATTTACACACAAGACAGATTCGGGTGCTGGAAAGATATATGAATGATCAATATATTAAATATTATTTCAAAATATAGCCTACTGTCATTACATTTGAAGTGGATCGAAAAAGACGATTATTATTCAAAATTCATGTATAACTTTGATGAAAGGTTCAAATGTTGACGACTTTACAATATACTGAATAATATATAAGGAATTACTGCTTCTCATATAATGAAAATGTGTGTGTGAACATACATTCACATTTATATGGGAACATGTATGTGGAATATATGTACACAATAAAGGATACAAATGTTACATATAATGCTATTTTTGTCTTCATTTATAATTATGTTATATGTATTAATATATTGTCGTACATGGTCAATGCAGTTATTGCAGTGTATTGAAAAATATAAGCACTAGTTTCCCATTTATGGAAATGTATTATGTAATATATCGCAATGTATTTTGCAGTATATTCCCATGTATTTGGGAATACATTTGGAAACACGTATAGACATGTATAAACACATATAGACACATATAGACACGTATAGACAGAAACATATAGACATGTATAGACACATATATAGATAGACACATATAGACACGTATAGACACAGACACATATATAGACACATAGACATGTATAGACACATATATAGACAGACACATTTATACACATAGACACATATAGACACAGAAACAGACACGTATAGACACATATAGACACATATATAGACACAGACACACATAGACACGTATAGACACATATATAGACACGTAGACACATAGACACAGACACATGGACAAAGACATATAGACATGTATAGACACATAGACACATATATAGACACATAGACACATATATAGACACATAGACACGTAAAGACACATATATAGACACAGACACATTTATAGACACAGACACGTATAGACACAGACACATTTACACACATATAGACACGTATAGACACAGACACATATAGACACGTATAGACACATAGATATACATAGACATATATAGACACATAGACACATATAGACACGTATAGACACATATATAGACACATAGACACATATAGACACGTATAGACACATATATAGACACAGACACATATAGACACGTATAGACACATATATAAGACACATAGACACGTATAGACACATAGATATACATAGACATATATAGACACGTATAGACACGTATAGACACATAGATATACATAGACATATATAGACACATAGACACATATAGACACGTATAGACACATATAGACAAGTATAGACACATATATAGACACGTATAGACACATATAGACATGTATAGACACATATAGACACGTATAGACACGTATAGACACATAGATATACATAGACATATATAGACACATAGACACATTAAGACACGTATAGACACATATAGACAAGTATAGAACACATATATAGACACGTATAGACACATATAGACATGTATAGACACATATAGACAACATATAGACAACGTAAACACATATAGACACATATATAGGCACATATAGACACATATAGACATGTATAGACACATATAGACACATATAGACACGTATTAACACATATATAGACACATATATAGACACGTATAGACACATATAAGGGTGGAAAGATGCAAAAAAAGACAAAAACAGAAGGACAGCGTGTATAGCTCATGCTAATCCAGGTTTATCTCCATGACCCCCCCTCAGCGGTGAGAGATTAGTCCAAACACACTAACTTAATACCACTGTCCCATGATGACACACACACACACACTGTCATCTCATCCTGTGTCTGCAGAACATGAACGCTCACACACACACTAGTCTTCAGTGTTTGCAGGTGTTAATCCTCACACACACATCTGAGCTGAACACACTTATAAACGACTCACAGATAATCACGACGACGTGTTCGGCACAACATGGACACTTTACACTCACATAAGGATATTTTCTTTGTACTCATGCTATGCATTTATTAGTTGAGGGTTAATCAATATAGGTTGCACAACCATTTTTAGTTTTCCCAATTTTGTGTGTGTGATTATCTCTATGTACTGCTATCGCAAACACACCAGTTTGTATTTGTATTTTAATAAGCAATATATATGGCATTAATTAACGAGTTTT